GAAAACAACAAAACTATGTGCTGACAAATCCAGGAGACATCCCTGCTGGGTAACTACAATGACATACCTCTGTTCACCACCCGTGGTGCTTTAGACATGACTGGGCATCACACTGGATGGAAATTTCAACAACATGAAAGAAGCATGCAGACAACCTCTGCTCTAATGACAACACAACAAAAGCAACATTCTTTCATCCCTGCAAACATTGAATGGATCCTGTAGTCACTACTTCATCCTTTACTCTCTTCTCTACTCTTTGTAGAAAAGCCTTCGTGTTTATTTTTCCTCCTTCATGTCTTGAGTCATTTCCCTTTGAAAAGTCCACATGCCTCCGCCAAAGACAGTGCCTCCTTCAGCTGGAACCAGGGGCGGGTGTCTCTTGTCTATAAAGGCTCCCCTCGTGTGCGGGAGAGCACTCAGAAACAAAGGAAACAGCACGTTCTGACAAGTTTTGATTCAGGAACAGAAGAACTGTGAGAATGTGGTTAGAAACCCAGGAAGTTACTCATAGGGAACATTGATCTGGTCCCGATTAGTCATCGCTGCCCGCAATTACACTGACCTGAACCAACCAGCAGCAGCAGACAAACACAAAAGGTCTTTCACCATGACAGCAAACTAAGATACTTTGAAATATAAGACCATCCTGACTTGCCTTACACTTTAGACATAAAGTCATTTTTAAATGAGATTTTTTTCAGATTTGTTTCTTTTCATAATAAAAAGTGACAAGTATGAAGAGTATTTGTTTTTAGCACTCTGAGTCAATACTTTATAAAACCTCTTCAACAACAGCTGCAGCTCATTTTGCGATATGTCTCTACCATGTTTCCACATGTACAGATGGGAATCTCTAATCATTCCAGTTTGCAAAATAGCTGAATCTTAGTCAGATTTCAATGGAGATTTTCTGTGGAAGCCAATTTTCAAGTCTAGTTCCTCAATTTCAATTAGATTTAGGTCTGGATTTTCATGTGAATATGCTTCGATGTAAGTCTATATTTTGGGTTGTTTTGCTGCTGAAAATTAAACCTCTGTCTCAATCTTAGGTCAAAACAAATTTTTATTTGCTTTAATGCAGCCATCATCCTGTCAACTAGCTTCCTTGATGAAGAATACCATCCCCACAGAATGATGCTGCCATCACCATGCTTTGTGTATTTGCGTGTTGGCCAAAACATTCTCTCACATATTTGTCATGTTTCACATGTAGAAAACTGCAAACATTCCTTCTTAAAAGCTAACTTTCAAAAGTCGGCGTTTTTATTGCCACGATTTCAAAAAGAACAGATTCCTAGAGTGACTAATTGTATCCTGCTCAATCAATCAAGCAATATATATGCATTTCTGCAACAAGGCAGTTCAGAGTGTTTTACATCATAAACACACACACAAAACATAAAGTTATACAACAGTCAACAATTGTCAAATGCCACTGTTACACATCAAAATGTTGATTAATGTTTCAGTTGTACTGTTTCAAAAGCATCTCTAAACAGCTGGGTTTTTACTCTAGATTTAAAGGAACTCAGTGTTTCGGCTGTTTTACAATTTTCCAGAAATTTGTTCCAGATTTGTGGTGCAGAGAAGGTGAATGCTGGTTCTCCATGTTTGATTTTGTGGACACAGAGCACACCAGAACCAGAACCAGAAGCATAAGACCCGAAAGGTCTGAAAGGTTGATACAGCAGAAGGTCTTTAATGTATTTTGGTGGTAAGCCGTTCGGTGATTTATAAACTAAATCAGTGGCTGCTTCTCTGATGGATGTTGTAGTTGCTTACAGTAGACGGCGAGTCATACCTTTGTAGGTTTGCAATTGTGCCATGATCTTTCTATTTTCGGATGGGATATTTAATCATGTTCTGTGATATATACAAAGCTTTGGTTTATGGTTTTAAAACCAAAGTTGAATTTAGACTTTTCCACGACAGAACTGTCTACAACTCCCCAATTTGCATTATTTATTATTATTTCGACTACTAACTCTATATTTTCTCTCCGTTTTGTTTTTTCTTCCATTTTCTGATTGGCTGTGTTGCCTTCCTGGAGAAGTCATCAGCTGAGATGATGCTGCCAGCAACTGAACATTGTCCCTCTGCTGCTGTTAATATTTTACTTTTCATCACCAGAAAGTTCTCCTACATCAGTGCTTCTGGTTTTTTTTGTGTGTGTGTGTATTTGCTGTCTTTTCAGTCCTCAGTTGTGGCAGATGGCCACTCATACTGAATCTGGTTCTGTTGCTGGTTTCTTCCTGGTAAAGGTGAGTTTTTCCTCTCCACTGTTGCTGCATGCATGCTCAGTACAAGGGATTGTTGCAATGTTAACAACACAATGCATGTGAAGTCCATGACTGGATTCAATCTGGGTGGAAAACTTTTAAACCTAATTTGAATAACGAACTAAACTTAATGCGCTGCTTGATGCTTGGAATATATGCATTACTGACTGAAATAACTTTTTTTTGCATAGTGCCAAACAAATAAACAAATAAACAAAATCAAATGAAATTGAAATTATGATTTGTTTAGCAATGCTCTGAAAAAAACTGGAATTATACAAAGTCCAAACGACACCAGAAATCTGTTTTAACAGGTGATTTGTAAAAACCAGTAGCTACACTGGGTTTTATTCAGGCATTTAAGAGAAAATCAAATTAGAGTAGAAGAACTTTTGTGTGAAAAAAAGAATGAAACAAAACAAAAGAAGAAAAAACATTTTGTTTTCCTTCCAAGTCACAATCAGACACTGATTTGTGTTTAATCTATCACTCAGAATGCAAGACAATACAGTGAAGTTCGTAGTTCTCACAAACTATAAAGTAGAAAAAATCGAGGGGTATAAATACTCTCAAAGTGCATTGTGTATATCAAATAACTAGGCTTAAAATTACTGCAAGGCCTTGTGAGCCATTTAAAAGTGGGCCTGTCAATCACTCTTGTGTATTATGTTCACTTATTAGCATGCAACAGGTTGTGTATTCAAATTTATCCCAAGCTGCAGTCGCTGTAATCCTCCTCGTCTGGCAAATGAAGAGTGGGGGGTTTCACCGAGAGTGAAACTGCCTTTAGTAAAGAGCTGTGTTAATTCTAATGTGTGTTGGCAAAGCAGCCTAATAAAGATGACAGCACACATTCATATGCATTCATTTGTGTGCTCAGCTTGACGAAGTCTGCCCGCAGGCTTAACAAAGGGGAGGAAGGAAGCCGGGGGGGATGTGAGCTGTGGAGAATGATTGGGGACGGGGGGGGGAGACGTCCTGAAGTCTCTGCGTGTCTGAGGTTATGGCAGAGACAGCTGGCTCTGCTGGGGCTCATTCTCTCTTCGGCAGACTCCAACCATCACCTCCACAATAACAGCCAGACTGCGCGACACACACACAAACACAGGATGCTCCATCCTGTTGACTGTTTACATTTCACAGAGGCTGGCCAACTTGGGAGGGCTTGATCACAGGCATTACAGCTGTCTGAGAGGCAGCAGTTTGTTTTTCTGACCACTTCTCTCATCTGTCACACCTCTTGAATACTTCTCAAACCTTTTATCTGAAATGTTGCAAGTTATCCTAAATATAAACAAACAAATTCTCCAAGGAAATAGGGGTATAAAAATAGCATTTTGAATCTAGCTTTCAGAAAGTGAGACGCTAAGTAGCTATGAAACATTGAACAGCTGGGTCAAGGGTGCTCTGAAGGCCACATCTGTTCAGAGGAATAAAAGAGCAGGACCAGAGACAACAACCTGCAGTGTGGTCCACAACAATAAGATCATTACTGAGCCAAAGGGGAGACATGTTTTCTCTGAGGGACGCTAGGAGACAGCTGAACAATGCAGGTCAAATAGAAGCTGATATTTATCCATCAAAAGTCAGCTTCTCCTCATCAGTTTTTGTTTTATTTTCAGTTTTTTAAGTAAAGTTGTTCACTATGTAAGAGAGTTGTTATATTTAGTATGTTGAGGTAATTAGATCAACGGTTTTAGATGCAATAAGAGGGCATCTGTGAAAAACACCAGTACCACTCGAAGACCAACAGAGGGCGATGTTGGTTTAACAACACAGCAAGTGGAAGCACAGTCATATTGTAAACAGCTGATAAAAGCAATTATGACTCCTGATTTTTTTATTATTTAATGAATCACTACCAATTCATTTTAGAATACATTTTTAAAAAATCTAATTATGAGTTTCAGGCTCTCTGAATGGTCAAGATGTTTCCAATATTACTGAACAGTTAGAATACAGCATAGATCTCATGGCCTAGACCACATCCAAAGGTCCAGGAGTCTCTCCATTCAGACTGTTGCACCTTGACTGTGGAAAAAACTAATTTATCAGAAGTTTCATTATTAAAAAAAAAAAAAAACTTAATTTACACAGAAGAGGATTCGGGCCGCTGAAAAATGGCCCTAATCCTCTTCCATACATTTATTATAAATTAGTTTTCGAATAAAACTTAATTTCTGCTAAATTATGTAACTTCAAAAAGTTCAAATCAAATAGTAATAGAACCATTAATATTTGAAAAGTTTGTTCAAATATTAAACTATTTGAACAAACGAGTTGTAGAAAGGGAAGACTCTATAACAATCTGCCTCTATAACATCGGTATAATCATGTCATAGCGATGACATAATCCCGATGATCATGTCGACGTGTCTCAACATGAAAATGAGTTTGACAGCCCTGATCAAGACCAAATAACCTGGCATTCAGTTTGGATTCAAAGCCAACATTCTCTTGCTGCAAAATAAATCCAACTTCAAAATACTTCATTAATCCCAAAGGGAAATTAAAAAGCTGCGTACAAATAGTTTTTATGTATAAACCGTTTTTCATGAGTGTATGTTTTAAAACTGGGTAGAAAAACCGAGAGGTGTTTTGTCAGAAAAACAAAACACTGTCCGCGTGGAACCAGAGCCAGCGTGGATCACGTGACCGGAAGCGTCCTTTGATGGAGTCGTAGGCAGCTCAGTGCAGGTTCGTTGTTTCACTTTTTTGTGGCTTGTATGTCCCGTTTGTACATGTTTATTTACGGCGAAGAGTTGTCACTTTCTGTCGATTTTTTTTTACATGAGACCAGAAGGAACGATGGCGTCGTGTTGAGCGTTAGAAGCGGAAGTGGCGGTTGACGGCTAGCAGGTGGAATCGAGCGACCAACGTGTTTTCCAGCTGTAAATGTTTGTCTTTTGACACATGAACAAACATCTTTGAGGATGTAATGCCGAAGAGCGAGTTTAAACCTTGGCCACTTGTTTCCGTAAGCGTTGTAAGTCCTATTTGTTGCTACCTTCGTTAACGTTTAAGTACTTTGAAGCAGCAGCTGTTCGTGATTGTGTCGCGTTACTCGTAGCAGTTTGTTGACATTTAGCCATTGCAAATGTAGCCTTTGCAAACAAATAAATTAACACAAACTACACGTGATTTACCGAGACGTAGTCTCCAGAAGTTTAGCCGGAGCTGAATGAGGTTGTCGGGTTAGCAGGAGCAGAGCACAAATAACTGGGGCACCAAATTTGACACAACGTGAGCGATAAGGGACATGGCAACCCAAGGATACACGGTGTGTGGGTTAATGTGGGGGACAAACCCCAACACTTTGTTATTGTTTAGGAGCGCTGACTAGTTCAGAGTGACCTATCAAGCAAATATTTCTTTAAATATATTTTAAAAGGCTTGCATGTTTATGTTCTAGAAGGGCATGTGTAAAAACAAACAATTTAATGGGGAAATTTTAAATTCCACGACCAGATGTGATTTAAAATTAGTATAGTACAGATCTCTCCCAATTAATATTAACATTTCTGATCCAATATTCTCCCAAATCCTTAGTTATAGTACGTCTTTCAAAAAATATTAGTAGTTAGAATATTCTTATACTTGTATAAGTCCTTTTATTTTACCCAAAGGTCTTAGTTCTGCACAATATGATATTTTCATCATTACAACAGGAACAGGGAATATTCTGCTTTGAGATAAAACTAGTTTCATCCTCTTTCTATATTAAATATTTGGAAATTACACTATAAAATATTCAACTTTTTTTTTTATTAAAATGGATTTTATGAGGGCTAATTATCCCGTTTTGCATATAAAATCAGTTAGTTTTGTAAATTATGAGAAATGGGAAATTTTAATCAACAGACTGACAAAATTTTGCTTGTCCACAGGAAAAATTTAATTTCAACAATAAACTCAGGCTATGTTGTCAATAGTGAGGGAGAAAAGACATTGAATAGTAATGCTGTGTATATGTTTTTAAGGATTTCTGAAAATTATGCAAACTTAAATGATGTTTCCTTCAGGATGTTAGTTTTTCCAGAATATTTGTGTTCAGGGAGGGTGAATGGAAAAAGAATATAAAATGACAAGCAATACTGGTTCTTAATATCTTTTTATTGCCGCTGGCCTGCATAAAATGTTTTGAAACCAACATTTGTGATGCAATAAAACATTACTGCACTGTAAATATTAAACTCAACCATTCAAAGGGACCTTTATGGACATGATGTACTTTGCTGAAGGGTTAGCTGCACTGTGTTAAAGCTCATTTAGATTATTAGTTTCAGTCAGTAGAGAAAATATGGGTCAACCCTGGAGCTATATCTCCATGATGATATCTATCTGATGATAGCTACATCATCATAGCATATTCTAAATTATTGAATATTTGTGACTGTCCTCCATGACGGGGAAAGGGGAAATATTAAATGTAGGGACAGCACTGGAATTAGAATGTGTCCTTTTTTACCATTTTACTTTATTTTGCAGTAAATTTTGATGGAATAGAAATATCATTTACAGTTCTACTGGAGAAAATATGAAACTATGGAAATACCAGCTGGGATGTAATCATTAAATGAGTTTGAAACTGCTGAAAGCAGTGATGGTAGGAAGGATCTGTGATGACTCTTCTTTGTGCACCCAGGATGCAGCAGGTTGTTGATGCAGGAGCTCTCCAGTTCGCCAACAATGTTATGCACATAAAAGAATCGATCTGTGCTCCAAATGTTGTACATGTCTTTTTTTATTATTTGTTTTTTATTTTCCTCGCAGCTTGAGACTGAAGAATTAATAGGCTAAAACAGAAGCTTACATGTTTAAGATATTTTCCAGTGGAAAGCGGTAAAATGCTGTGATCATTTTTAGTTGTCAGGGCTACTTTTAGTATTTTTGCATTTATAAAGCTGATATTTTGTAGCTTCTCGTGCAGTTTGGCCTTTGCTGTTTACATTGCTGCAGTGCAAACATTACAATCAGCATCTAGGATGTTGCTCATAAAGGAGCGTTCTAGTCCTGTGGGCGTTCTAGTCACTTTGCGATTTTCAGTCTCCTTTTAAATAGTGGAAATTAAATCATTTTTACTCTGAAATGATGAAAACACTGGTGTTTTCATTTACTTAGCTACATTATGTAACCTTTACTTAATCTACAGTATCACATTGAGACATGAAGTGCTGCAAAACTTTACAATCTTTTTCTCAGATAAAAAAGTTCTCCCAGTGAAAAAAATCTAAATAAAATCAAACATTTTATTAGATTCCAATAATCTTATTTTGATTTAAATATAAATGGCTTTTTCAATACTTGTGCTTTTTATCTCTTTCTGCTTGTATTCCAATTAATTTAAGCAATGCAACAATTCAAACCCTTTTTTTTATTATTTCTAATAGGAAAAATATTAGACTAAATATAAAGTATAAGAAAACTATTTGGAGTGATTGCTCTTTGAACATAAACGTTTAAATGTGGCCTGATAAGTGGACTAAATAAACAACAGCCAAATTATGAGATGATTATTCTTTTCATAATGTCAGAAAAAAATAAAAATAAATGAATTCTTGATTCTTAAAATCAAGAATTGAAGCTGTAATCCATTAAAAAAATACGTAAGGCATTCGTTTTTTATTTACTTATATTTCCAGTTCATTAAAAACTGTTAACTGTTACATTAATTCAGACATAGAATAATTGATTAATATTGGTGTAACATGAGAAGCATTCAACATTTTGATCTGTTGGGTTCAACTAAATCAATAATAATCTACTGACCAATAACGTTTTTCATATTTCTTCAAGTGTGGAATCGGATGACTTAATACATTGCAGATTCGAGCCGCTCGACCATTTTCATCAAAAGATCCATTTTGCTCAAGTTTTTCTGTTTTTCTCAATAGAGGGCTTTTATCCCTTGCAAAATCACCAGTAAGTGGGCAGGATTTTCCCAGAATTCCCAACCAGTCCAGCTCTCAGACTGGAAGTTCAACGCCCCTGAGCAAAGAGCAAAAGTCTACACCCCTGACTTGCATTGCTGCACAACAGTCTGGGTCGATGCCTTTAGAGCTTAGAGGAACAAAAAAAGAACAAGAAACAGCGACTTTAAGTAACTAATCTCCTCTGTCATTGCAGATGGAAACATTTATGGTTTTTAAAATTTCTTTGTTTAAATTTTGCTTGAGAAATTAGATTTGTTGCAATAACAATGTGTGCATTTGTAATTTTATTAATGCAGTTGAATCTTGTCATTTCACTCCATCCCTAAATATTTGGTTTGTCCATTAATTGATTAAAACATTGATAATTTTGTTCTTCTGTGTCCTTACAGGATTTTTGGACAGTTGAGACTAGAAAATGTCTTTAGCTGTCTCACTGCTCCTCGTCGCTCTGTGTGCTGGCGGAGGATACGGTGAGGAGGGAAAGCGGACCCAGAAAGCTGGCCATGTTTCTGTGGTCGTAGTTGGAGGAACTGGAGACCTGGCGAGGAAATATTTGTGGCAGGGATTTTTTCAGCTGTATGTGAGCCAGGTCAGCGGTGGAAACACCTTTTCTTTCTACGGGGGAGGTTTGTCCCCATCTGAACAGGCCACACCAGTCCTCTTTGAGATCCTGAAGGCGGTCACCTGCTCCAAGGATGTTTCTCAGGACCGCTGCGCCATCCTGAGGGATCAATTCCTGCGGCTCTCGCAGTATCGGCAGCTAAAGACTCTGGAGGACTACCAGGAACTGGCCCGGCACATCGAGCAGCAGCTCCAGCAGGAGGGAATGACAGAGGCCGGACGCCTCTTTTACCTCTCAGTCCCGGCTTTCGCATACGCAGGTGTTGCAGAGAAGATCAACAGCAGCTGCAGGCCGGCCGGCGGGACCTGGCTAAGGGTCGTCCTCGAGAAACCGTTCGGACACGACTACCGCAGTGCTCAGGTGTTAGCTACTGAGCTACTGAGTGCATTAAAGGATGAAGAGATGTACAGAATCGACCACTACTTAGGGAAGCAGGTAAGAAAAGATCCTTCACACCATGTTACTCTCCCACCTGGCAATTTATGTGTTTGATAAATTTTTTTATTCTTCTTTTCATAAAAAAGGTGGTGTCAAAGATACTTCCATTCAGGCTAGAGAACAGAAAGTTTTTGGATCCCATCTGGAACAGGCATCACATCGAGAGAATAGAGATTGTTTTAAAGGAGACTCTGGATGTAAAAGGTGATTAAAAATGTCCCCCATCTTGTTTCTACACACACTCACTGCTCGCCAAGTAAATTCATAATGTTTGGAAGTAGCATAATGTTAACTCAATTGACTGACTTAATTGAGGTAACCGAGTCAGGGGGGAATAAATCCATATTTAGAAATATTTTCTAATAAAATATTTCTTTGTAAGGGTTGTATTAACAACCTTTACAATGTATACAATAGAACTATTTTAATCTACATTTTATTTTTTAAGTTGAACAGCATGTCTAGGAACTTTAATCAAGAATCCATGACATATTCTTTTCTTAGGTACATGGCATCATGAACTCTTTAAAATAACAGAACATTTCCAATAAAAGCTGGTCGTCTCTTCAAAGAAAACAAAAATACCTCCTCATTTAGTCTTTAAATATAATAATAATCCAAAATATAAGACCAAAGTAACACAGAAATGGTTAATCTTGGTCTCAAAACCTAAATTCTGCCAAAAACATGTGCAGAGTATAGAAGAGAACAAAGGACTCTTCTAGATGAAGATATTTTGTAAAAGCAATTCTCTCTTAATGTAATTTTTTCTCTTCATGTGGATTTTGTTCTACAGTTTTTAGTGGGAGAATATTGCAACAAAGGGTCTCTAACTGACATAGACATCTCTTAGGAACTTATTTAGTTCTTTCATCAGCTCTTATTCTGAAATTAATGTAATAAAGTGTAAAGGTGTTTGCTGCTTTTAGAAAAGTACTAAACATTAACTAACCCTGGAAGTTGTGCACCTGTACTCTTCTAAGGTTTGTCAGTCACCCCACCCTAATTGCTCCATAAAGGGCTATGTAAGACAATAAACAGGGCCATCATGTCATCTGTTGTTCTTTCAACAATACCCAATCCAGAGAAACTTCAGAAAGGGAGGTCAAAGTTCAGATCAGCCTTCATATCCTTAAAATGTGGTTGGTTAGTGCTTTATTCTCTGGCTCAGAAAAAAAAAGAAATGTGAATGTTTGAATGTGAATGAAGTTAAGGTGGTCATTGTGACAGTTTCAATCTTGCTATAAAATTCTTAAAGGGACCAGAGTCCAATAATTCAAAACTTAAATATTTTTGATTCAAAATCATTAATAAATATTTAAGAAAACTTTGGAGTCATTTCAAACTTGTGCATCTATTTTATTTAAAATGCTTATATTGCCATATAGCTTATTTAGATATTGTTAAAAAACATTTGTAATTGTTTTATTTTTTTTTCAAGCTTATCAGAGTGGGTGGGTGGAGGTAACGATGTATTTTATTTTAATTTCATTTATCAAATAAGATATTTCACTTGATAGATATTTCGTATTTTATGCTTTTCAATATAACTCAATAACTGATTTCATTTTTGAAAATTATGCTGCCTCTTGTTTTGACACCTCAGGTCGGATTTCCTTTTACGACGAGTACGGAGTGATCCGAGATGTTCTGCAGAACCACCTGACCGAGGTCATGACCCTGCTGACCATGAAGCTTCCTGCTAATGTGAGCAACAGTGGAGAAGTTCTTCGAAACAAGCTGGAAGTTCTCAGCTCCATGCTGCCGTTAGGAAAGAGTCAGGCAGTCATCGGACAGTACCAGAACTACAAAACTGAGGTCCAACAGGAGCTGAATAAAACCAAAGAGCACGTCAGTTTGACATCAACATTTGCAGGTGAACACACAACTTTGTTTAGCAATGTTTCCTGTCTTTACTTTATAGTTATCATACTGCTTGAACTTCTCATTTGGACATGTTATTCTCACAAAGTGTAATTTGCTGGTATTTTGCGAGTCATAAAATGTTTCACAAAAATGTAAAAGAAGAAAAATAATCAATCCATTTGTAATTTCAAGAGGGTTGAGAGTTTGGACCGATCTTAACAAAATGACTCAAACTGAGTTCGGATGGAAGCATCTGGAAAGTCAGACTTCAAGTCACCCAAGATTTTCAGATTTAAAGTCTGGGCTTGGACTAGGCCACTCTGAACTCATGCAAATGATTTGTCCTAAACTATTCCATTGTATGTCTATTTTTTTTTTTTTTTGTAGAACCTCTGACATGATCTGCTCTTTATTTAGCTTCATCCATCTTTCCTGTTCGCTGTATTAGGCGATAAAATGTTTATTTTCCTATTTTAAAAAGTAATGATTTTTTTTTACTTGCATCTTTTAAAGTGTTTGCAATATTGTACAAAAAAGGCTTAAGTGGTTGAATAAAAACTCTGCAGATTGTGCATATTTACGTGAATAATCTTTAGAATAATTAACAAAAATAATCATTACTAAAATAGTCATATTTTCTTTACTGTGTTTGTTTAACTTGTAAATATAAATTCTGCTTGTGTTGCAGCCGTTCTGGCCCATATCGAGGACGCACAGTATGAAGACGTCCCTGTTCTTCTGATCTCTGGGAAGATGCTAGACGAACGCGTCGGTTACGCACGCGTCCTTTTCAAGAACGACATCTTCTGCCTTCAGAGCCAGAACAATGTCCACTGCAAACCTAAACAGATCATTTTCTACTTTGGCCACGGCAGTCTCAAATATCCAGCGGTTCTGGTCAGCAAGAACTTATTCAAACCAGCTCTGAAAGGCGGAGAGTGGAAAGAAGTGACGGAGCACAAAGACGTCAACGTTTTGGGTTTGCACATTTCCGATTACTTTGTGCAAACTCCGACAACAGAAAGGGAAGCGTACGCAGAACTCATCTATCACATTTTTGCTGGGCAGAAGAATAATTTTGTCAGCACTGAAAACCTTCTGGCCTCCTGGGAAGTCTGGACTCCGCTCCTCAGCGCCCTGAAAGGCTCCTTCCCCCGGATCTACCCCGGCGGTGCCGACAATGGAGACATGCTGGACGTCCATCTGAGGGGGAAGGAAATCCACTTCAGCAGCGAGGCTGTGATCATCAGCCCGGATCAGGTGGGAGGGCCGTCGGCCAACAACTTCCAGGTGATGCAAGGGAAGTTTCGCAGTGCTGAGATGGTGTCCGCCTGGTCGGTGGAGCTGGTGGAGCGACTGGCCGCGGATATGCAGGAAGCAGCCGAGGCAGCCGTGCGGGAGGACGGGGTCTTCCACCTCGCGCTCTCTGGGGGGTCCACTCCGCTCGCTCTGTTCCGCAGGCTGGTCCTGCACCACTTCTCCTTCCCCTGGAGAGACACACACATCTGGATGGTGGATGAGCGCTGCGTCCCGCTGACTGAGGCGGAGTCCAACTTCCACAGCATGCATGAACACCTGCTGAAACACGTGAGGATACCGTATTACAACATCCACCCCATGCCAGTGCAGCTCAACCAGCGGCTCTGTGTGGAGGAGGACGGAGGAGCCCAGCTGTACGAGAAGGAGATCAACACACTCGTTAACGTTTCCAGCTTTCACTTTGTGCTCCTGGGCGTCGGATACGATGGCCACACCGCTTCTCTGTTCCCTGGCGGGAAACTGAACGAGAGTGGAGGAAGCCTGGTGGCTCTCACAGAGAGTCCCATCAAGCCCCATCAGAGAATGAGCCTCACCTTTAGGGCCATCAACCGAGCTCGCACCGTCGCTCTGCTAGTGATGGGCAAAGGCAAACATGAGCTGGTCACCCAGCTGAGCCGAGTTAAGGACAACCTGGAGAAATATCCTGTCACCTGGGTGAAGCCAGATAATGGAAGGCTAGTTTGGTATATAGATTATGATGCACTTTTAGGATAAGTGATTATGTACTGTAAAAACACAAACACCAAGGATTTTCAAACTGTTTTCTAATGCAAAATATCTTTGTACACCAGAACAAATATCTGTGGTGTTTAGGAAGCAACACCAGCAACAACAAATATCTCTGTTCTGGTGTAGAAATAAGATGAAATTAACTTTTCAAAAACAAGTAGGTTCCTATTGATGAAAAGGATCTGCACTTTAAGACGTTTTTTCTATATTTTAAGTTAAAATCTCATGTCTCAGTATAAATGACACTTTTTTAACAAAATAAAAGGAAATACAGACTTAAAATACTCACATGTAAAACCGATCTGATCTTAAAACTGGGATGCACCTCTATCCTATTTTGTTCTGAAAAGTTACTTATAAGTTAGTCTTGTCTTATCTCAAGTGTGCCAAGATACCAGTATTAGAAGCCAGTTAAAAAGTACTTGGTGAGATTTTCTGTTATTGAAATGTGTTTTTCTTATTTTCAATCAGAGAATGCAGCTGCTTTAACGGAAATGGTGTTTAGGAAGCAACACCAGCACCAACATGACCAGGAACTTCAGGTTTTTGCTTCAACTATAAATCATATTTACTAAACATTTCTTTGTTTGAGCTCAGGACAACACAAGTCCAGTAACAAGTTTATGCAACATCTCTTATTTTAACCATTTTTTAGTTGATTTCTAACAATTGGGATATTTTTCTAAACATTTGTCAAAATTGTACATGCCGGCTCAAATATATTCATACACCACGACTATTATTTGAAGTGATACCTCTTAGAAAGTTAGAGAGAAACCACTTTCTGGAGCCATGAACTGGGCTGGATGATCTATCTTCTTATATTTGACACTAGAACACATTTAAGTCAGTTGATGTAATGACACTTGGCTTGGCTTTTAAGCTTTTAAGCCCAGTTTAATTGTTCATTCAGGCTTAGAAGTAGCTTATATTTGGCTTCATTATCTATTTCAGAATCAGATTTAATGTATTTTATGGTCCTTTTACATCCAATTATGTCCAAATTTTAACCATTGTTAAACTGAGGTGAAGTCATTGAATCTGGAGGTTGTCCTGCTTCAACTTTGAGCCGTGCTCAAGTACCGCTATAATTGAAACAAACCCTCAGTATGATGCTTTCACCACCATGCTTCAGAGTCGGTACTGTGTTCTCCATTCTTCTTGTTTTATGGCCAAATACTCCAGAGGTTTTCTGGTTGGACGTCTGCAGGAATTGCACTCAGTCCTGCAAGATTAACTTTTAGAGTCTGCATTGATACGAAATGTTGTCACAGTTTATAGACTTGAGCCTTGATTGTTCCTGAATTTTCCGACTGATTTCCTTTCCTCTGAGGGTGACACATTGGGTTGGCAAACTTTAAAATCCAAAGAGACAATTTTCCCCTGTTCCTATCAAAAACAAACTTTCTCGAGCTGCAAAACATTTAAAACATGGCTCTGTTCTTGAGCACTTTTGGCCAAACTTGAACGACCAGATGTGCCTCCTGCAGTTTGCAGCCTCGTGGGTGGGAGGGTTGAAACATGGACAAAACTGGATGTTCCAGCAGAAAAATGACCCCAGTTGGATGGAAAAAGTGCAGTTTTGGTTAAGCTAAAGGATTCTCCTTTAATCAATCATGACACCAAATTCAGCCCTGCTGGCAATGCAGGGACTACAATGAAACGCCACAATGGAAAAGGTACTGTTCAAATAAATCATTAAAAGCCCCAAATTAGTGACATTTATCTTCATATGAATGAATGTAAACTTCTGATCTGCACTGTAAGTCAAACAGGTTTAGTAGATCAGTAGTAGATTTGTGCTGACCCAAATCTAATAGGATTTGGATCAGTACATTTCACTTTTAAAAAGCCCTTTAGGCAATTAGTTATGAGTTATAAATAAAGCGTGGTGATAAAGTTAACCTTTAAAGCACAACGAAGTGTTCAGGTTTTGCAGTTTATAGTTAATGGCAAAAAACTTGTGGTTCTTTCCTATCAAAAGGTGAAATTTTATGTGAAATCCATGTGAATGAATGCAGTTGAAGATTTGTTTTATAGCGTTTATGAAAAACTGTGATCTGAGTGGAGATGTAGACAGGTCACAGGAATCCAAGTCTCCAGCTCAGAGCAGGAAGTTTGAAGCATGTGATGCTGTGAAATCTGGTGCTTAGAGCCAAACAAACACAAGAGGGATTTATTTTAGACGGAATCAGTGTGTTTGTGCAAGTCATGTCAAATCTCAGGTGTTTCTGCAGATACTTGGTGGCAGGGTTACAATGCAATTAAGAAAAGATCGAGGTTCTCTAGAGTGAAGACGGTTATTTGTGCTGCAGAGATTTTTAAGCAGCGTATCAGTAACCCCTAAATAAACATTCCTTTCAGGTTATTTCTGTACAATCTGCAGGTGATTTTTTAAAGCATTAATTTCAGACAGAATTGATTGTATTTTAGTGAATTGTTTATGAAGTTTGCCTTGAGTTTACTTTCAATAAAAATCTGATTTATTACATTCCTGTTCATATCGTTCTCTGATTCATTAAAATTAATCATTTTTATTTAAAGTCAGGCTGTTGCACCTACTAGAGATTGAAACGTTATTATTAGTGTCATTTCTTAAAAAGGAAATATTTCTAATATTTAGGTCTGCTTGTTCAGAGAGAGAAACAATTAGAGTTTTATTACCATTTCTGAGCAGCACTAGTAAAGTTATGTTGGTTTGTTGCGACTTTAAACATTAAAACACAAATGTCGGCCATTATTACAAAATCCTGGTGAACAAATTGAGACAAGAGAATTTGTGTTTTGACAAATTAAACGCCTTAAGCCAGTGGTCCCAAACCTTAAATAAAATCGGCCATATTCAACATAGTCTTGGCCCTTTTATGGCAGCTTGTGGGGTTTTTCCCTGACTGAACGCAGCTTGTTGAATCACAACTTCTGCTCATCTCATCTGGACCACTGCCCTGACTCTCTCTGACTCTTGTCGCTATGGTAACGTTTGCACATCCCTTCAAAATAAGATACAGATGTGCCACAAAAACAAACATTTTACTCATAAAAATTTTAACTTACGATAACGACGACTAATGTCCGTGACTTCCAACTTCCAAATAATACATAAAACGGAAATAGTTCATTATTTCTTGCGTGGCCCGGTACCGGTCCATGGACCAATTGGTACCGGGCCACGCAGCCCAGGGGTTGGGCATCGCTGCCTTCAGCCATAACAGCAAAATGATTTTATATTTGAGAAAGAAGGCATTACACTTCTTCAGGGATTTTGAAATTAGTAGTTTGTAAAAAAAAAAAAAAAATTCATATTTTCCTGTGAACAACCCAGACAAACAGCCAGATTTCTTTACATTTATGATCAAAGCAACAAGCTTCCCCTAGAAAACTATATCTGTCCTCCATTGGACTTAAAGAAAAATGTAATCTAACTAAAGGATGCAAATTACATCAATAGTTTTCCAATCCATACCTAACATCTAATCTAAACTCCAACACCTCAAGTTTAGTGCTGGAAATTTTGAAAAACCTTTACATTTTGAATAGAGTTCTCATAAAAGTTTAGAAACATAAACGCTTTTCACCAATAATAAATAACTGATTTAATGTTTTAATTAAAAGTTTTCAGTTTCTTCATTGGGGATAACTTGTTTTCAGTCTGCCTGTGCATTATCTGTAGTTTTCAAACTGTTTTAGTCCCCCAGGGATCTATTTGCTGATATTTTTATTTAAACTAAAACAGGGGTTATTTGTTGAAAGTTGGTTTCAAAGAAAATTCATTTTCCTTTCCAAAATCCGATGAATAAGCCATCAATTTGCCTTTTTAAACCAGTAAATCTTATTGTACGTGACAAGGATGTTAATAAGGCTTTTGTGCCTTATTTGGAAACGTGATGAATTTTAAAACAATAAGGTGATGGGAAAGAATGGAAATCAATGCTTCGATTTGATTTTCAGTCTAAAATGTAGATATTGCCTTTCGCTTATGAAATTATGATGCAAATTTCACATCTGTTTTTAATCAGTTTGGCTTTACAGCATGTCTATATAAATCCAGTTCACATTACAGTGTAAATTACACATCCTAGTTTATTTTACAGCATGTTGCATACATTTCAAACAATCATCACATCTGTTTTTCTGCAGCCTGCATTAAACCCGGAGCTTGATTAACTCGCCTGCACTTTTGTCCCTCGGTTGATGGTTTTAAGTTTCCGTCTGCTGCCGGATCAGATCCCTCATGAATTCTTCAAAGTGAACTGTATCCAGTGTCGACGGCGCGGGGGACAGCTGGGCTTGTTTTATCACACGTTGTTCCTGCTTGTCGCCTGCCTGTTGGTTAACCACAGTCCTGCTCTCACCACGAAAAAGCCTGAACGGACAGAAACAGGTGTCAGATCTGCAGCGACGCAGATTAAAGCCGTCAGAAACGTCTCACCTGCGCTGAGAGCGGAGGCCACCGTCAGAGCGACGGACAGGTGGTACAACTCTGTGGTAGTTTTGGCCTGTGGGTGAAGACGCAACTCATTTTGATGCAGTCATTTTGCGTTTTCTCACTATTGCTGCTTTTCTTTTCTTACACAAGAGGCTGCTGTGAGAGTCAGGATGGCGGTGCACAGTCCGTGGCCGCATGACAGAAACCCAAACACATGACAGGCAGCCCACAAGCCCTGAGGAACCGGATCGAGCAGCGTGAATACTACAGAAAGACCTGACAGAAGAGCAAAAGTTAAAATTATTAGATTTTTTTTTTTTTTTAAACTGCATGTGGTTAGACTCACCTGAAGCAACGATGGACAGGGCAACAGAGGCCGACAGGTTGTTCAGAAGAGGCTGCCTGCAGTATCTTGAGGATTTTGACCTTTTATGGCAAAAAAAAAAAAACATTTTTACATGTAAACCCATGACCTGTGTGTGACTTTACAGGATGTCTACATCCCAGTTACCTCCCCATGACGTAGAGCTGGGGGGCCAGCACCACCACTATGAACACTGCATTCACTATTTGGCTGTTAACGAAAATTACACATCAGCTCTCATGCATGAACGTAAATAATAACTCTCTCTCTATAAGAGTACTTACAATTTTAACCTCTGGTTCAGTGGTATCCATCTGCTGCTGTGATAGGCCAGGAAGACCAGCATGTAGAGAAACATCGATGCTGCGTATTCAGACGAGGGAGTGTAGAAACGCTGCGCTGCTGGCTAAATGTGCTCCAAGGAAAGATTGGGTTTCATTCTCTGTTATTATCAGGGCCTCTAACACAATACAATTCACATCAGATGTCACAATTTATCTTACGTCGCCATATTTAGGTATGCATAATCTATGGATTAAAAAAAAAAGATGAATTATGAATCAAATGTTGATATCAAGCATAACTTGAGTAACATTTTCAAAAAATCCTATGTAAATCCAACTTTGACCTTTATGAAAAAGTAAACCTTATAATTGTTTGTTCCGATCTTGTGTCATCAAGCATCTACAGTGACTGCTGATGAGTTTTTCTTATCACAATGCAGTGAGTTGGCCCTCTTTGCAGATTTCTTTTCTTTCATCAACACAAGAGGAATTTTGAGGATGAGCAGCTCATCTTACGTTTATTATAGTTCTCCCTGTCTAGGGTTTCCCCCGCCTGTTGCCCAATGGTCTGGTGATAAATGGTTTCTCTTCTAGTAACACTGTGAATAAGCAGGGACAAACAATGAATGGATGGATCACACTATCCTGGCATCCTGAGACAAAATAGAGAAGTGCACCAAGTTGTATTTTAAGTTGTAGTCTAAACAAAGAGAGGGCAGGCAGAGGAAAAGCAGCTTCACTTTGTGTCCCTGAGCAGGTCTGGTGTTCCAGTCAAAAACAGATTTGTTTTGGAAAACCAGTCTTTGCCGCCCTCAAGGCTGAGAACCAGCTTGTTAAAAGTTGCTTGGAAGTGGAACAAAACCCAACAATTCTTTTGAATTAAGTCAAATTCATTTTACTTTAGTTAAAAGACCAGCCTTGCAATTTTCCTATTTTAGTCTGCAATTTGCAACATTTGTCAGGCCTGAACTTTGGCCGAGCCAAATCCACTTGGACGCACCTGCTTCGAATCAATGCTTAATCAACAGGCTGCAGAACTTAAATGCGTGGCACTGTTGTGTCCTTTCATGCGGGGAGTTTCCTCATATTATGCAAAAACTATTTCTCTTCTTGTGTGTCCTGAATAAGTGAGGTGAGCGTTGCAACACCCTTTCTCATGCTGAGGCTATAAAACACCCAGGAACTCGCACTGCCAAGTTTTCAAGAGAGCCAAACCTCCAAAATGCCTGCAGACTACAATGGAACGTGGGATATGGTCAGCAATGACAATTTTGATGGTTACATGGTTGCACTTGGTAAGGTTTTCTTCCCTTAATTACTGGCTTGATGCATTAGATGTGTGAATGTCTTAATTTTCAATCAAAATGATTGTGAACCAAGCCAGTGTCGTGGATGATTTTCTAAATTAAACTGGTTTCTGACATGCAGACATTAACTTTGCAACACGCAAAATCGCCTCTATGATGAAGCCTCAGAAGGTGATCAAACAAGCTGGAGATTCTTTCACCTTCCAAACCATCTCCACCGTGTTAAAGTACGAGAGCTCCTTCAAAATTGGAGAGGAGTTTGAAGAGGTGACGAAGGGCATGGACAACCGCAAGTGTCGGGTAACTGAGCGAACAATGTTTGAAGCTTTCAAATCGGCATAAAAACAAAACGTACAGAGAATTAATCGTGTTTTCTTTTAAACCTCTACCAGTCTGTGGTTAACTGGGACAATGATAAGCTGGTGTGTGTCCAGAAAGGAGAGAAGAAAGGCAGAGGTTGGACTCACTGGATTCAGGGAGACGAGCTTCATCTGGTACGCTGGCTCACTTTTTATATCCAGTTAGAAAAGACACACTAGTCCTATACGCCACATTTAGACTTGACCCCTTTGCTCAACTGGAATATGATTTTATTATGTTTAAGAAGTCCTACAAATTTTGTAAAACTTTCATTTTTCTCTTGTCAGGAGCTGACCTGTGAAGGTCAAGTGTGCAAGCAAGTCTTTAAAAGGATGTGACTCTGACTGTAAAGATAATGGCATACCTTTGTACATGTTTTCATCATGAGATGCATGCAAAATAAAAAATAAAAAAGTAGACTAGTGAATGTGATTCATTTCAACACTGAATGCAAGCGCTTTGCATTCGGATCTTTTTATTTTTAATTTCATTATAAGAAGGTGCAGAAAAATATATCCTCGGTATGAAAGTTATTTATGACTCTAGTGGAAGTGATGTTGATCAGAAAACAGGAGTTTTTCTTCCCCTTGAAGGTTTGAAAGCGAGTTGGGTGGGAGGAGATGTCCCCTTTAAATGAAAAGGTCACTGCCTGCACAACACCGGTCTTTTTCCCAATGTGTGTTGATACCAGTACAAGTCAGTGAAGAGACTCTACAGTGATGAATCTATAAAACTATGTTCTAGCTGTGCAGACAGAAATTGTTACTGATAGGATGGTGGCAGATATTACATAACTTAAGTACGACAAGAACAAAAGCTACCAAATGATGTGAAAGATGCAAATCATACTTTACTTTTTATTGTTCTTATATGCAAAGCAGTCATTAAATTTGAAAAAAAAAAAAACTCTTCCCTGAAACCTGAAAATTGGCTATTCTTCACCAAACCATAGCAAATAGTTAGTTTTTTTTATTTGGGGAAAAATAAAAATTCAAACATTCCAAGTAATGTACCTTACCATTTTTTTTGTCAGTCAGCATAACAGCATCTACAAAACTTTGTGAAGTTAAATCACTTATAAAAATGTTTGAGACCCAGTTACAGAAAATTGTTTTTCTTATGAACCTTTCAAACCCACATGAGTTGGCTCCATTCTTTTTTTCTTTATGCCTCATTTAACATCCCTTTGGGATCAAAGTATCTGAATTTGAATTATAGATCTTTCAAAGGCAACCAAAGATGTTATGTATAGTAGAACATACAAAGACTGCAATTCATATTGAGTAGATTCACTGACTGTTTATAGTATCTAAATGCTTTAACTATACACTCAAAGATGCCGTGTGTTTTTAGCACATTATCAAGCTAATGTAACATTTAATCAACAATCAAAGCCTTTCCACCAGCTTTCCTTGAATGGGTACTGGTGAAAGGAAATCCAGTCCGTTAACAGTGAATGTAAAAAGAACTTCCAGGCAGCAACGTTCAGATACAGTTGAATATGACGTACCTTGTAGTTCACCATGAGGGCCACTTGGAGGCGCTGTGGAATTTCTCGACTCAGACTTTAGAGCCGTTGGTTTGTGCCGCGAGTTTTTGTTTTGTTTGTCAGCCACTAAAAAGTTAAGTCAGTTGACAACCTGGCCAAACCATGAGCTAACGGTACACGTCATAAATCCGACTTGTTCAACATTCTGGTTATTTGTAAACTTATCTCGCAGCCGCTCAAAAAATGTCGGTAGACGGCGAGGAAACTCGTCAGGTAAGCGACGTTTAGCGACCATTGCTATCATATCCACTTAGCCAGGGGTCGCTAAGGTTGCGCTAGCATGCCTCTGTCAAAAGTTTGTCATGACTTGCTTTTGTATTTAGAGGTTGAAGGCAGCGGTTCATTACACGGTGGGTCGTTTGTGTCGCAAGATCGGAGAGGAACACCGGACGGAGTTCAGCCGACAAACCATAGCAGCCATAGCCGAAACAACGTTCAGAGAGTGCGGTGAGTTTCTGCATCATACGGTCCGATTTTCATACAGCACCGCCGCCTCACGGAATCACTTTTATGGAGCACAGCCAGCCAAACAATGTCTACACAAGGGATGTCCAACGTGTGGCTCGGGGGCCATTAGCGGCCCTTGCCCCACAAGCAAAGAGAGCAATTTTTACAGTCAAAATCTTCTTAAACATGTTTTCAGATTAAAGACAGGCGTTTTCCTTTTTTAACGATGTCTCTCTTTTCATTGATCGCTCTAAACAGTAAGCACTGCCCAATTTGGTTTGCCTACTGTAAAAATAAAAAAAGAGAATAATGAACCCAAAGGTTGAAGAATATTTACATGGCATTTAAAATTGACCCTGTTTACATTTCTATCAACAATAATTCAGTAAATTATTAAAATTGGCATTACTCATAATAAAAATATTGTTCAGTTAGTAAGCGATAAAAACAAATGTCTTCAGAAATAAATAGTTTAATGCTTTGATTTAAAAAAAAACAACAAAAAAACTTTGTGGCACTGTAGTTTTCTCAGCCCAGCAGCCAACAGCATCAACAACCCTAAACATTTTTTTTATTATATTGCAAAATTGTTTTTTTTTTTTTAAAGCTGTTTCACATTGCAACCATAATGTATGGTATTTTATCGGTTGTGATAGACCAATAATTTGTCAATTACATTAGGCTTGTTTGATATCTACCATTAATGAAAATGTTTCAATTTTCAGTACCAAGACAAAATGAAGCAAGAAATGAGGGACTGATAAATGTAAAGTGCCACAATGCTATTCTTATTACTGAATAATGAAAGCAAGGTTTTTACATGTAAAATCTACTTCAAATGTAATGTTTAAAGTATATTGCAATTAACACAAGCATCACATAAAATCCTGTGTGGATCCAACCTTAATGATCCTCCATCTTCTTCCAATGCAAAATTGCAAAATTAGGCTCATAATGTTGAATTTTAGTCTCCACATTTTTTCTTTACATTTTGAAACTGTCTTAGTTGGGTTGTAAATACTGAGTTTAATAAATAAAATTATATGTTGACAAAAAACATAATATGATGGTTTTTCCTCTGTTCAGACATCTTTGCCAAGGATCTGGAAGCTTTTGCCAGGTAAGGCTTTCCGAAGCTCACCATTTTAATTACTCAGGGTTTTATTCTTCTAGTAAAAACAGAAAAAAAAAATGATATTATGACTGCTCTATTTTGTCTTTAGACATGCCAAAAGAAGCACAGTGTCTGCAGAAGATGTAAAACTTCTCGCCCGCCGCAGTAGTGCTCTGGTAGGTTGGAGAAAAATAACCAAGTTTACTAGTTGTACGAGTCGTATTCATATATATATAAATATATATATTCATATTCTACACAAGACGGCACATTTTTATTGTTTCATTTGCTTTTATTTAGTTCAACCACATACAAAATAAAAGTGAAGAACTGGCCCAGGAGCAGAGAGACTCCAGAAAGAAGAGTACAGTGAAGAGGAAGAGCAGAGAGGCCGAGGAGGAGAGCAGAGAATGAGGACATGACACAGGGAAGCCTGCAGCGTCTGGCTTTGTGCTCAACATGCATAGAAAGATAACGAGCTTGACCAGAACAAACCGCTTTAATGAACTTTACAGCACAAGACATAAAGCTAAACTCGTCTCAGGAGGCGTTGATTTGACATGAAGTGACGAGTGATGAGCAACAAAATCTTTAAAGAACTGTTCATGTAACATTTACTGCATCCAATAAATCCTATATTCATCTACATGGTTTGGGCTGTTAAACATACCATTAAATCCTCTAAAATACTGTTTGATGTATAGACTAAAGCTTCAAGGCAGTTTGCCCCTTCACCATTTTGTCCTGACTCATTTACACCCTAAAGCCTATTAAATGGTGAAGCTTTTTAACAATAAAAACCCCAAATAAACATTTACCATCATATTTTCAGTAATTTTTATATTAAAAAAATCTGGATTTGGGGCTGATTTCCCCCCCACCCCCAATATGCAATTTTGATCCGTGATCAAATAAAACACTATGCAGGTAAGTATTTATAGGAAATAACATTTCCTCAAAAAAAAAAAAAAACTTTACCAGTTGCAAAAGCAGGTATGAAGTTTCCACTTTCTGTAAATTTGAAGGTTTTAAAAGCAACCGAAACTGCAGGAGAACTGGCAAGGGGGCGAAAAGGAAAGTACCCGCAATTAAAAGTAAACCGTCTGCCTTACAATTTTAATTTAATCCATGCATAGCGCTCAATGTTTATAAAGCAATACAGTAGAGATGCACCAAGAAACTGGCTCACTAATCTTATTTCATGATGATCTGACACTAACATCTGATCTTTCTTCTGATTCGTAAAAGCTCCAACAGGTCATGCAGAAAAAAAAACCTGTGAGGAAACTGTCACTAAAAGACTGTTGGCTATTCTCAATGTCAGAGTAATTAAAAAAATAAATCAGAGTAAGTGAAGATTTACCATCCTTATAGAAGGGACAAACACTTTCTACAGACATGATGGAGGAGTGAAACTTCAGACGATACAACAAGCAAATTGACCACTTAGTTCAGTAACTTAAAACTCCAGTCCACAAAGGCCAATGTCACACAACTTTTAGATGCATTCCCACGTTAAAGATTCAGGTCGTTAGCAGGATAACAAAGTTGAATGAATCCTGAGAAAGCAATTCAGCCATTTGAATCAGACGTTATCAGGAATGTCTAAAAGCTGCAGGACACCAGAGCCACGAAGACTGATCTCTGACGTAAACATAAACAATCTCATTAGGTTGGAAATTTTATTTGAATGGATCTAGCCAAAAACAATATGTATATTACCTTCACATTTAAGAAAGTCTTGTAAGGAAGCAAATGAGGAATGAGATGGGTTTTTTTATTTGGATTTTGAGTCCAACAATCTAATAGAACTTACTAAATAAGGGCTTAAACATGAGTTCGATAATTTTCAATGCAATACTTTCAAAATGCCAATTTTGTTTAGAGAAAGTTTTGATCTATTTATGGTTTTGGTTGCATGTTATTAATGTCTGTTTCATTTATTATTTTCCATTGTTAGTTTGGAAATTTAAAATGTCTTCCAGTTCCAGTTGTAATTGATACTCCATTTTTAGAACAATAAACTTGAACAATTATTGCAATAACTACTGACATTTATCATCCAGCAAAATTTATTATGACATTTATTCAGGCTGCTAAATTTTGGTGGCAACAAAATCTTTTTGGACAAAGTTACATTTTCTTTACATTCAGAAACTTAAAGACTAATTTTTCATTCCTAAATTTAAAAGAAAATCTGATTCTGAAAAATCTATTAGTGTCAGTAGGTCAGAGCTAAAAATAAAATTGATCGAAATTCAGCAACTGCATCTCATATCGGTGCATCTCTACAAAGAAATTGTCCAAATGCAATATTTATATTTCTTGTAAATCATTTTAAGACTAATAAAAAGCCAGATAACTGGATGCATGTTTGTTAAAAAATAACTTACCACAAACCTTCAAAGTTGATGGTTATAATTGGGAATGTGCTCTAAAAAGCCAACAGAAGGAGCAAAAGGACAGGTACTACCCCATGTCATGTCTGAGAAGGCCACACACTGAAAGTGTTGGAACTTCCGTCTTCTTCCTTCAGGTCAGGGTTCAAACGGAGACCTCGACCAGCAGAGCCCAAGGTCCCTAGATATGTGAATCGAATTAGATGCTTTGGATTCCACAAACCGACTCAAGCAGTATCAGCTAAGTAACTATTCAAATGAACTTTATTAGAGAACTCCCTTCATTTGACATGTTTTTTTTTTTGTTTTCTTTTTAAAAACACCTCACAAACAACAAAGAGCTACCGGGCACCATTGGACACACACGTCTCCACGTTCTCACATCCTCACTCGCGGCCCCCCAGAGTCTTCAGCAGGTGTCATCCACATCAAGAACACACTTACAGATCAGTTCAATTAACATGAAAGCACACACCATACAGCATTCAAATCAGATAATATAAGCAATACAAATATTCATCACAACATTCCACTACAGGTTTTTATATTTCTGCACTTAGACATACTTGGAAGGAAAGAAAAAAAACTTGCAAAGAAAAAAAAAGAAGAAGAAGAAAAAGGGACAAATCTTGAAGTACTAATTAAAGAATGTCCATGTTAGGGGGAGGCGCTTGTCGCATCCGCAGCTTCCACTCACACACTCAGAAAAGCAGTCAAATTGGGCTCTACCACCGCACAACCAGTCCTTTCCACGCGTCTCTCTCCGTTCGCTCACTCATAGCTTCACTCCTCGCCACAAGCCATCCTCAATCGCACTCATCAGTTCTTAAAATGTCAGTTGCGCAGTTCTCGCCATTTTTTTTTTGCTCTTAAAAAAAGTGGATAAAAGTGAAAACACCCACCGTCTCTTAGAACATGCGGAGTGAAGCCGTTCTTTGATGGCATAGCATTTACAGGTGGGAAGAGGGAGAATGATACGGGTATCACCCCAAGAATGCTGCCAAAGAGGAGCTTCGTCGCGGGGAAATGGAAGAGAGGTGAACTGCAGAAGAGATTTCAGTGAAGGCTTTTCCACAGAACTTGACTGCAAATAAAGTTGCACTTGAAAAAAAGACATTTAAGTTTCAACCAGATTCTTTCCAATGCAAGATTGCCTCTCAAGCCGATGGTGACAAAAGCCGGATAATGGTGAACCGCAGACATTCATGCATTTTCTAAATGGGCATTACATTTCACAATACATGCATTAGAGAATCCAGTTGAAATGGATACAAACAAACAAGACAGCAAAAATAGCACTTTAGTCAGAAATCCTGGTAAACAATTCACTTCAACAGTTCCTAAATTAAATCTTTAGCTTTTTTTTTTCCTCCAAATGTACAAAATGTCTTTGACCAAAGTGTTTAGTTTTCAGATACGCATCAACACCAGAAATAAACTTTTGAAAAGACTCATCTCTCTCACAATACTTACCATAGAAACACTTAACTTACATACCCCACCCAGAGGACTTTGACTCCATGCTGGACCCAAACCCTGAGCTAAACCCGCTGCCACTGGTCGTAGAGTTTGACCCTGAGCCCCAGCCCAGACTGGCCGAGCTGGTGCCGTAGTTGCTGTTGCCTGTGCTGAAAGACTGACCCTGGTCCCTGCTCGAACTGGTCCCACTAGAGGTGCTGCCTGAGGTGGATGTCTGTTGCTGGCTCGCCAGCATACCCATCATGCCCCAACTACTTTGCAGAGCAGCCTGAGCAGCGGCCATCATGGCGGGGTTCAGGCTAAATGACCCGAAGTTAGCCAGACTACTGTTAGCGCTGCTCCCCAACCCACTACGGTTGCTACCGAATGCCTGGGCCCCAAAACCGTTTCCAAACCGGGCCGTACGGTCAAACTGCCTATTGCCGTGTTTGGGCTCAGCGTTTGAGATGTGAACACTGACTCCTTTGATGATAAGGTCCTCTCCACAGAGAGACTGGGCAACCTGTCGGGTCAAAACAACAAAAAAAAACAGCACTTAACCCCTTACACGCATCATCTGTTTCTGCTTTTACGTCAATTTAAATGTTTCAGCTCAAACTATGTAGAGAAGGATAACCCAAGTAAATGTAAATGCATTTTGTTAGGAGCAAAACTAAATTAAACTACTTTTCTTCTCTGGTTATGGTTGTCTGACATAAAAACCAGCTTAATTAGCTGAAACATTTAAGTGTGATAGAAAAGCAAAACAAAAATGTATTAGACATAACTGCGTATTTCAACACAGTACCTGATCATCTGCAAATGTCACAAAGGCAAAAGCCCGGAATGGTTTGGGGATGAAGACGTCTGTGACTTCTCCATACTGCATGAAAAACTGGCGCAGGTCGTCTGTGGTCATGTCCTCTGTGCAGCGTCCGACAAACACTTTCCGGCTCCTCAGTGGCTCATCGGGACCTTGCTGTGAATAAACAGCAGAGGGGAAACGTAATTGTTATCGAGTGTTAATAGCAGATTATTTCTGGCCAATATGCAGCTATGTGGATGGACATTACCAGATTCACCTTCGAGTTAGGAAGCTTGCAGTCACACCATCTCCCATCAATCATGTGGCGCTGGGAAATTACTTTTTCCTGAGCTTCGTACTCTGTGAATCTCACAAAACCAAATCCTTTGGAGTTACCAGTCTTAGCATCTCGTTTAACCTGAGAGAACAATAATCAACGATAAACGCATATCCGCATAAAAAGCAATAAAAAAATGGCGCTTTTTCAAACAAAACCATTATGAGACGCACCTGGACCATTATGACTTCACCAAATGTGCTAAAGTAATCCTTCAGGTCCTGTTCAGTTGTTTTCCAGGGCAGACCCAGAACAATCAGGTCAGAGGTCTTCATGTCTCCCCTCTTCATCTTCACAGCCGAAGAGGCATCAATTTCATCCATTTTCCTTTTGTTATCTAAAATTAAATACATAAATTAACCTTGAACAGACATAGAAACCTATTCTCTTCTGACTCTTAACTCTGAACACATCATCTGACACTTTTTAGGTGAGCTTACAATCAAATAGAAATTTTTATCAATCTTTATATGAACAAGGCTGGATTTAGCAATTATCTGCTAGTTTTATGCATCCTATCCGTCTTACCATTAATAATTAAAGGGGTTTGTTGTACCCATGTGTTCCCAGTAAGAGATTGTGTTTTTGTTCCAAAACCCATCAAAGAAATTATTGTAGACTTTTAATTCAGGCAAACAAAATTTGTC